GCTACGAATTCCTTTCCTAGAGCCCTGTTATATAATCGCCTTTTGTTCCACGATAAGACGTGGGCAAATCGTGTATTAATCTTGCGTACTATAAAGTTAATTGCTTGATATTTAGGCTTATCGACGACGAAAAAATATCCAACAGAGATAGCGGCACCTTTGGGTGGAAACGGTACCATGAACTGGCCGAGATCGAAGCATGGTTAGATGAAATTTTGGCAACCTTTCCCAGCGTAACTGAAAGTTTCTCTATTGGGCAGTCCTACGAGGGACGAAACATCCGTGGCATCAAGATTTCCCATGGCTCTAATAAGCCCGGCATATTTATTGAGTCCAACATACATGCACGTGAGTGGATCACCTCGGCCAGTGCCACGTGGTTCATCAACGAGTTGCTTACCTCACAGACAACAGAGGTGCGCAACTTGGCAGAGAACTACGATTGGTACATTGTGCCCGTCTTCAATGTAGATGGCTTTGAATACTCCCACCGCCAGGTAAGCTTAATTTAATTTATTTGATAACTGGTTAGCTAATCAAACTATGTAACATAGAATCGGCTGTGGCGCAAGACGCGTCAACCCCACGCCACCTCGTCCTGCATCGGAGTCGATGGAAATCGTAATTTCAATTCACACTGGATGGAAAATAATGGCGCCTCGTCGGATCCTTGTAGCGAGACATTTGCCGGCGAATCACCTTGGTCGGAGCCAGAGTCTAAGGCACTGTCCGAGTATCTAACAAGCATCAAGGATAAATTCAGCGTGTACCTATCATTTCACTCCTACGGCCAATGGTTGCTGTCACCCTATGGCCACTCAGAAGTTGAGTACCCAGAAAACTACGACGATTTGCAAGAAATAGGCGCCGCCTTTGCCGGTGCCATTAAAAATTTGGTCTATGGCACTGACTACGTTTACGGCTCCACAGCCTCCGTGTTATGTAGGTCGACCAATTACCAGATTTTTCAAGCCACTAAAAACGTTTTATTTTTGTAGATGTCGCTTCTGGTTCGTCTGTCGATTGGGTTTTCAATGAGCTGGACAAAAAGGTGGGCTTTACCATTGAGTTTCGAGACAAGGGAAATTTTGGCTTCGTACTGCCGCCCGCTCAGATTCTGCCCAACTGCGATGAGCTGATGGCTGGCATGGTTGCGCTGATTGACAAGACCAACCAGCTTGGTTACATATAATCCAAACTTTATTTCTATTGATTACTCGTCATTAAAATGGCTCATGTAGGACGCCAGCAGGTCATCAATCTTGTAGCCTTGCGTGGTGCTGCAGAGCAGCTTCGAGGCGCCAATCATGTTGCCGAATCGTATGTGAAAGTGGTTCTTGCCGGAACTCCACATGCCTAGTTCCGTGTAGCTGTAGCTTCTCAGAAGATTTTTTGTATGCACATCGAGTATATGGAAGCCTGTGCCGTTGATCGCTATCAAAAGGTTCTCAGGCAGGGACTTGTCATTCAGCTGCTTGACAACGAAGAACGTGGAACCAAAGCACGTCTGTTTGGCAAGCTCCTGTAGAAACATCAGCTTCGCTTGATCTTCGTCAGCTCCGGCCTCTTGATGCATAATTGGCGAAAGTTGTTGATGCCACTCTGACAACGTCTGCAATGGCAGCAAATCCTCAGGCACCAAGCGGGGCAGCAGCTCCTGCAGCGGCAAACCTTCCTCATTATACCGATTCGCCCTGTGAATTAGTTTGGCCAACTGCAAGACCACCTCAAGGTTAGTGGCATAGTAGCCCTTAAGGTACTTGTGCAACTCTTGTGGATAACTAAAGATCATATCCGCATTGAAATCCGTGCCCGGCTGGCAATTAAGCCAAAGTTTGCGCATAAAGTGCAGCTGGTAGTGGCCATCACTGCTGGTGCGGATTGTCTTCTGATGGCGGGGATGGTGTAAGACTTCCGTGATGAAATCGAACACAAACTCCGCCTCGGGAATGGCGTAAATCTTCTCGCCCATTTTCAAAAAAATACTGAACCCCAGCTGCGACTTAAGCTCCAAACGATGTGTTATCTCCCGGATAAGATCCGCTCCCCGCGTGTGGGACTCTATCTCAAATGCCTCTACGGTATCATCCGGGAAGTAGATCTTATGATAGATGTGCATGCAACGTTGCTGGATCCCCTCCACCTCAATCAGATGCGGGGCGTGCTTTCGCTGGCCGTACTGCACGGAACGCTTCAAGCGCCTGAGGCATGCATCCGCCAGTGCATCGCGACGCAGGCTCAGGAACAGAATAAGTTCACGCATGATGAGCACACTGGGCGCCATGATGCCCGTGGCCAGATAGAGCAAGTCCCAGCCACGCTCCTCGCTCACCTCCAGCGGGTTGTTGCTTAGCTGCTTCATAAGCTGGCAGAAGACCTCATCACAGAGCAACGGTTCTTGCAGAGCCGGCTTGAAGATTAAATCCGTATTCACAGGCAGATTACCGCGTGATATGTCGCCCATGTACTGAAGGAATACGAAATGTTACGAGGATCAGATTAGCAAATAAGCCTTGCCCACCTTCAGTATGTGATGATGAATGACTTGTGCCTGTTGGTAGAGCTGCGGCTTTGAGTGCAGAGACCTAAGGAGCGGTGCCTTCAGTGGTTCCGGTGAATACCTCCATAAAGGTGACTGTTCCGATCTGTCAAAAGGTGAAAGTTAAAAATAATTCAAATTATATGTCTTTAAAAGAATGTACTCCAATCGCTCTCGGAACTGCATCTCAGCCAACTGGGCTAAGCTATGATGTCGACGAAGCGAAGCTGCCGTCGGACCCTTTGCCTCGGATTGTTCTACAGAATCACGACGGGTGTGCTCTTTGAATATCTGCTGTAACTGTGCGCTGGGCTTGGAGAGCGTGGCTAGGATGCGCACATTGGCGGCCACAAATTGGCCCCAATGTCCATTGGCACAGCCACGCCAGCTGCAGCGGGGATCCTTGGTCATCAGCTGGTCACCCGTGACACCCGCCTCGAACTGTACCAGATCCCCAGCTCTCATCGCCAGTAGGTCATCCACTTCAGACTGTGACTGGGTGTTGTATATGGCTACGCCGTAGCTGGAGCGTTGCTGTAGGTTCACCAGCATGAAGTCGATGAGCTCAACTGCATCCAGAGCCTCGCTGGATTGCAGCACAAAGTTCTCCTGTTGGGCGGTAAGCACGTGCATCTGGTCGTTTGCTCGATAATGCACCTTGAGCAGTTCCGCATAGCTGCAGGATGCGAGCACCTGCTCTGTTTCGTCAATGAGTGAGAGTCCTGTGGCATTAACAGCCAGCACGAGGTCATCGCTTTGCAATTTGGGGCCGGACACGCGGAGCACTTCGTAGAGACGAGAATGGCGCATGGGCCAGGACAGATGGGCAAACAAGCAAATGTCTTCCTTGGCACGCTGCTGCGACATCCCGTCCTGGCCCTTCTTCACATAGGCGCAGTTCTTGTACGTTGCGGCAATCAATCGACTCCAGTTGTGCACGGCCCGTTCACCCGGTGCCAGCAGATCCTGTGGTACAAAGGCCGTCAGCTGGCTCTCAGAGAGCTTAGCCACGGGCTGTGCTCCATGCTCAATGTAGGTGGTCAGCGCACAGATCATCGCAATGTCCTTCTCTGAGCGACAGCGGTATTCGCCGCATTTTAAGCCACTCAGAATCTGCTTGTAGATGAGATGCGTGGCCTGGGGATCCAGCGCAGGATCGTACCAGGCACCAAAAAGTTCCTTGCGAAGGTACAGCTTCCAAGGTGCATCCGCTTGCCGTTGCTCGCAGCTGGCAATGACGTCTAGCACGTGCTCGCGTCCAGCGCCCAGAGGAATGAGCCTCTCGTGCAGCGACAAAACAAGGCCGAATCCAAAGCTGTCGCTTAGACCCAGCCCATCGCACAACTGCTGCACTACCTCCCTGGCCGTGCTGGCCGCATCCACCTGCAATTTACGAGCCTCGCCGTCCATCAAATAAATCGCCAGCTTTAAAGGCTGGCGACTGCGAATCGCCTGCAGCTCCAAGAGCGAGGGAGGTTGGGATCGCGCCCCGTTGACCAATGTGCGCTCCAGATGCTGCAGACAAGGCGCCGCCTGCAGCTTGGCGGTGCCTACCTTCATATAACTGCGCAGATAGGGCTCGAAATTGGGTGTGGGCGGAAAGCAGCTCAAGCAGAGCGAGAGCAGCAACCAGCCGCGGGAGAGCGAATTGCGACTGGGATTCAGGTACAGCTGTTTGCAGATCTGAACCAGGATCTCGTCCCTGTAAGGATATTAAACAAGGTGCGTAAACATCCATAAGTATGCACGTAGAAATGGGCCATAGGTTGGGAATAACAGCTTACACTTTTTATATTAAAATGAAAATTCCAAACATATCCTGCTAAAAGTCAAGAAAGTAGACCCAAGAGGATATACTCGCAACCTACCTTAATCCTTCTCTTAAAATGCCATGTCCAATTATGAAGTGAATCTTGTCCATATGGCTGCTGCCGACGTTCAGCCAGAGCTGATAGAACTCCTCGGCATTCTGCTGACCATTGCCAATAATTTTTGCTGGACGCTTGAGGGTTTGCCTGACAAAGCGACGCGGCTTGGAGCCGAGAATCCGCGCCATATCCTGCATAAGTTGTGGGTTACGCAGCGTTTGTTGGGTCAGGCTGGGTGCAGCCTCTGGCAGATCGCCCATAAAGCGAAGAATCATCAGCCAAATGGCCTAATGAGAAAAAATGAGTTTGGGTCTGGAATTCACTTGAGTGAGTTGAAAGTAATTTACCTTGGCAGCCGTCTGATCGATGTGCAGATCATGTTTCAAAAGAGGTTGCTTCAAGGGCTTGCTCTCGTGCTGATATGTAGTCCCATTGCAGAAATATGTCGAGGCAAACTTCAAAAAGCTATAGTCCGATGTGTCCACATTTGGGGGACTTGGCTTGGGCAGACGGATGGTGCCAGCGGAGCTGATGCTGTTGCTCTTCTTGAGCGTGATCTACAATTAAAAGTAAGTACAATATTAATAAATATTAACGTTTACATTTTGTAGCTTAATTTTAACTTAGAATTATTTTAACATTAGCACTTCGCTCAGTTTCTCTTATAAAAATGCACTTAAATTTATAATGGAATTCTGACAGCTTTAATCCAGGTAGTACCGCCTACCAAACGAGTTGGTATTATGTTTTTTTCAAGTAGATATGCCGATCTGATAAGAGTCCGTCGATTATTTACGATTGCATTTTATTTCATTTATCATGCGGGGCATTTGTTTTAAACTTGCAAAGCTCTTCGATAGCGATAGCTGAGGTTCTTGCTAAAATATTTTTAATTCTAAAGTTAGTTGCTGACTATATTCGACGCTGTGCGTTTTTAGACTCCAAATTGCGGCAGTGGCAGGAAATTTACACTTTTGTCAATAAATATTAAAGAATTTTGTTGTTTTGCTGTTGTTTCATTTCAATAGAGTTTTCCTGGTGTATAAAACTTTTAAGCTAATGCCACAAAATATGCCTAAATTAGGAAACTCAATCTATACAAGGTTAAAGTTCCTATGAGCTTTTCATTTATCTAGCTATTCATTTACATACTTGTAACAGTAAGATCCTCACATTAGCAATCATATAAAATTTTTTCCAGAAAACTGGATGGCTCTAAGGTATGAGTCTGAAATTTTATGGAAACATAGCTTAAAACACATTTAAAAAAAGATTTAATAGCAGAAAATAAACCCAAATTGGAAAGACACTTTTTACATAGGCTATGCCCCAGAGACGCCCTTGTCTGAACAAATATTATCAAGAAATTTAAAAGGAAATATCTGTTTAATATACACATAGACTCCTACTGAAATGAGTATATCCATTTGCTTCAGTAATATTCTCATATTTTAATAAATATATTATATAACATATATAATTATTTACACTTGCTGCTCAAAAGTATGCGTCTGAATTTAATGTAACTTAAAATACATTTTAAAAAAGAACTTCCATTTTCACAAAAAAATAAATGATTGGCCAATCGCTATTTTCAGACAAGTTTCCTATTCTTTCCACTTGTAAACACCGTCATATAGAGCATTAAAATTGAAACAAAAAAAAATAAATAAATAAATAATAAATAAAACTGTTGAATCTATCTTGACAACAATAAAATTTTATAGATTACATAGCTCTTATCTTTCACCCTACACTGTTTATGTAAATATTGTCAATGGGTAGTCCAAAGTGTGGCTGGTCGAATTTCAAGCAATTCAATGTGTTATCAAAATAAGCTCAAAATAGATTGAAGAATAAGAATGCCAAAATCATGTTCTAATTTCCGCAGATAGTAATTTAGCTCAAATTTATTTGGGTATGTTCTTAATTTGCAGTTGACAATGATCAAAAAGGCTACTGGACATAGAGTACAAAAGGCACAATGTGAAATGACCAACGTGTACGAAAAAGAAGACAACTGAGACATATATATATATATGCGATAAGGAACTACTGTGAAGAAAAAACGAAATGGATTGCGTACATATCTTTAAATTCCTTGGATGTCGCCACCGAAGCGGGTTTTATTTACAAAAATATAATAAATAGGTTTGTACAGAGAATATACATTTATAAAATGGGAGCCTTTTGGGCAAATAGAACGATCACAAAACGAATCGATTTTAAGTATATATGAGTATATATATACAAGCCAGCATGGATATAACATTTGTACAGGTGCATCAAAAGAAAGCCCACAAGTGAGACGATTGCAAGAGATGAAGAAGAATATCTTCATAATATCAGCTATTGACTACTTATCGTAAAGGCTGTCTAATTTGTTCAGCGCTGACCCGGTGGCACCCGGCAACTGCTAGAGACGCGTCTGGTCGGCGACCTTGCGAGGCGCCGCCTCGTAGTAGTTGACGGGTCGGGACAGCAGCTTGGTGGGGACATCTTTGCGTAGGCGCAATTGCCGCTCGAATATCAAGGACTTCTCCTTGACATTCGGCCCCAATGGACCACTCACATCGGGCTCGTCGTTCAGGAAGCCGAACACGTCGTCCACAATCTGCTTGGACGACTCGACATCCATGTAGCCGGGGCTATCCACACTATTGCCATTCGTCCTGGCTACGCTGTTGCTGGCAGGACGAGTACTCAGTGGCACAGCAGCAATGGGAGACATCGACGGGGGCGGAGGCAAGGACATGCGTGCCTGTAACGTGGGCGCCGGCAGCACTTGCGCCCGGATCTGCGGCTGCTCGGATCGCTTCAAGGATTTTGTGCGTTTGGGCTGATTCACAGCCAACATGGCTTGAGCATTGCGTGCCGCGATTTCCTCCTTGAAACGCTGCTCCGCCGCCTGTTTTTCCTTTAAACGGAGCTCCGCTTCAGCCTGCTGCTGCTTGAGACGCTGCTGCTCCAGCTCCTTAAGGCGCAGCAGTTCCTGTTCCTTTACTCGCTTTCGCTGCAGCTGCGTCTCCTGCTTGGCCAGCAGCTCCGCGCGGAAGCGACTTCTGGCCAGCTGGCCGCGACACAGTGCCTGCAGCTTTATCGTGCGGCTGCGCACCATCGTGAACTGGGTGGTCAGTCGCTGGGCAGCTATGCAGGCGCCCAGCCGATGGAATCCAAGCCGCATCACCTGGTACCTACACCGTTGGGCACGTCCGCGCCAATAGCGCTGCACTGTGACGATGGCCTGGCGATATTTCTGCATGTAGCGACGGAAGAGCACACGCCGTATGCCTCTCTGTATGATCACAATGCACTTGAGCATTATCCGCGAGCGTTCTGACTCGAGGAGAGAATCGTCCTCATCCCGCAGAAAGAGCTTCGTGCGTCCAAACTGGCGATCCGAATCGGTGGGCAACACCGAGTCACAAATCTGTCGCGCCAACAAGCGACAGTCGCATTTGTCAAGCGGACCCGTGCGCGGCACCAGCAGTCGATACCTTTCCACAAAGGCGCGGTAAGCGTGGCGTATGGGATACCCAGCGCGACGAATGCGAGCCGTTTCCATCATGCCCGAGTAGCGCAGCTGACGCACGCATAGCTCCTTGTCAAAGTTCTAGAAGAGAAAAGAAATTCAGGTAAGTACAAGATTTGATGATACTATTTAAACCGACTTTAGTCAAAATATCTTGATAAACAAAAATGTATTTCATACTAGAACATACTTTTCGACCGACTGTTCTGATATATGTACTGCGTGCAACAGAAAGAAACACTTTTGCAAAGTTTCATGACGACAGCTTTGAAACTGAGGGACTAGTTCGCATAAGAACAGACAGATGGACAGACGGACATGGGTATATCGACTGGGCGGTTGAAGCCGATCAAGAATATATATAATTTATGGGCTCGGAGATGACTCATTCTATACGCTAAGCAGTCTACTCAAACTGACTTTATAGACCCAAATTTATATAGCATACTTATCACAGAATAACAGATTGAGAGGAGGAGACCAGAAGAAAGAGAGAGAGAGGCAGAGAGTTTGCATCGAGCACATTGGATATTTAAACCGAATCAGTATCTAATCTTAATCTTTCCCAGAATATTGTGTCTACTCACATTGGGTTCCTTATACTCATTGGGCTTTATGCAGCGTATAAAGTAGGGATGTGCTTGGGACAAGGTGCGCATTAGCATATCCAAGGAGTTGCGAAATTTGACGCACAGGGTGGGCTGCTTCTTGGCCGTGTCCATGGGCAGCTCCTGGGGAAATATGTCCACCAGATAGCTGTTGCTGGAACGCTGCACCAGGGAACGCAGATCGCCGCTAAAGGAATCGCGATTCTTTTCGAGAAAGCCCAACGGATTGTACATGACGACACCGGCATAGTGCCTAATACCGAAGAGCGAGGTCTGTGTGGTCTTGCCCTTGACATAGATGGAGCGATTGCCATGCTGGACGTGCAGCTTCTCCAACAGAGTCTGATCCGTGCCCTTGGGGAACTTGGACTCCTCATCGATGAGCGACATAATGTTGACGGGCTTCATGCCGATGAGATCAAGTATATCCTGGTTGTCCTGGAAGTCGATATGCTGCCAGTTAATGTGCTCCAGTTGGTACTCCGCCTGCTCCATCTGCAAGACCAAGAGCATTAGCAATATAAATGGAGAGATGAGAGAGTTGAGATACCTTGAAAATGTGTCCGACAAAGAACTGCTGCAGATTCTCATTGGCATAGTTGATGCACAGCTGCTCGAAGCTATTGTTGTCGAAGTTCTCGAACCCAAAGATGTCCAGCACTCCGATGCTGTTCACAGGCTCCGTCGGCGGCTTGTTGATGGTCTCATTAATGCGCCGCACGATGCGCACAAATATGCCATCGTAGAGGGACTTCACAAACGCATCGCGTCCCTCCAATGCGGCCTCCTTCGACAAGCTGGTCACCACGTGCTCCCCGTGCACGTAGATGGTGCGTTGGGTCAGCGCCGTATTCAAAGGCGCGGCCGACAGCCCCAGCAGCTGGGCCACACGCTGCAGGTTGACGGGATCGTCCACTTCGGCTGCTTCAAGGTTGGCCACCTCGGTCGCCTTGAAGCGCAAGTTGCCCAGATGCAGGATGGCCGCCATAAGGCTAAGCAGGCACCAGACTTCCTCTTGCTTGAACGAGAGCACCTTCATGGCGGCGCGAATGTCGGCAAAGTCCTTGGCATCCTGCTTGCCCGCCAGTGTGAAGCAGCCGCCCTGCGCCAGGTAATGATACTGGCTGGGACTCTGCTCCTGCAGTTGCAGGCGTTCCCGCTCCGCTGCACTCAGACCCGCCAGCATACAATAGAAAATGTGATAGTTGCGCTCCTCGCGGCTTTGAAAGACAATCCGTGACTTCTCCAGCAGGTACTGCTGGATGCGAGCACCCTGTATGGCGCCCGCCGGAGTGAAGCGTATGTCAATGTACTTGCCGAACCGGGAGGAGTTGTCGTTGCGCACGGTCTTCGCGTTGCCGAAGGCCTCCATAATGGGATTTGCCTCGATAATCTGCTGCTCGATCCAGGAGTGCTTGCCACTGATCGCCGCCAGATACTGCAGGATCAGCTTGGTGCTTTCGGTCTTACCGGCTCCGGACTCGCCGCTTATAACGACGCACTGGTCCTCCTTGAGGCGCTGCAGGCGTTGGAAGGCATTGTCGCTCACGGCGAAGATGTGCGGCGGCAGCTCGTTGAGCTTCTTATTTCGATACAATTGGATCTCGCGATGCGTATAGATGGGCAGTATCTGGTAGGGATTGATGGCCACCAGCATGGAGCCTGTGTATGTCTGTAAAACGAGTTCCGAGTATTAGTTAAACTTCGCGTAGGGAATCTCTATCCTTACTTACGTAAATAAACTGTTTGGCGTAGCGCGTTTGGAGATTGCGCAGAATCGTGTACTCCTGCAGATCGCCCAGCGTAATCATATCCTCCACATCCTCCTGCGAGGTTAGATGCATCGCTTTGAGCACATCTCCCGCCGGCACCCAGAACTGCTTCTTGGCATCATCGCAGACCAGCGTTTGGGTCTTCTCCGTGCGCACAATCCGCGCTCCGAAGGGCACCGCGAATTCACTGCTTGTGTTCTGCGGCTTGACCCAAACATACTCGCCCTGCAATCGATCATTAATGGGAGATATTATCGATGTAATAATTATGATGTATACGCGCAGCACTTCTTTGTTTTACGATAAGATACCAAAAGTCGAAATATTACTCAATGTCAAGGAATTTCGGTGTGTGGAAATTGATTATTGCCGTCATGTAAGTCAATACGTGTAGTTGATTTGTTGAAATTGACACTGTTTGCAGTTATCACAATCAAAGATCCAACATAAATGATGATAAGGGATTTTATGCTACGGAATTTCTACACATGATCAAAGGAAAACCAACTCGGAGACACGGTATGTACCTAAGTAGTAAAAGACTTTGACAAATAATCCTAAACCAAAAGTTTGTACCAAATAAAATGTAAAATTTGCTAGGATCTGGGGCATTAAAAAAGAATAGTGCATAGAGTAATCGAAAACAAAAACGGAAATCAATACTAAGAAAGTTGTCAATGAAATTTTGGTTAGTTAAAAAAGGCTTTCAAGTCGTCAAAAGTTTTGGAAAAACAAAACGGTAGCCGTTGAGCAAACAGTTGAGACCTCAAATTTACTCGAAGTGCTTATCTTATCTCGACGGAATGCCGATATACAAAAAAAAAAGAGTCTTATCGGTTTTTGACAATCAAAACGGTTAACACAACACGGCAACAAACAGCCAATAATTGCCAAAAAGAAAGTGAACGGGCGTATTTGGTAAAAATTAATACAAAGTATTCCATTATAGAGTTAAGCTCTCATTGAGACAGTTGAATCCATGTTAGCTCTCAGTTTATATTATATTATTTATTCTTTTATGGAGTCGCTGCGACCTTGCTTATCTATAATAACATGAGACTCACCTGTGCCTAGGCATTTTGATAAGATTGTGACTAATGGCAGCCAAAAACAAAAAAAAAAATAAATAAATACCGCTAAGCACACATTGATCGATAACTTAAAGCCAATTCCTGAAAGGGTTAACAATTCGAATATATAAATATTATTAATGATAAGCGTGTCTTGCAATCAGTGCCAGAACATGAGTTCATCCTTTGGTGAATCCATTGCAAATTGGTAATTCATATTTAATTGAAAAGTAATTT